GGGGTGTCACTGAGCCAGGTGTATCATCGAGCCAGGGAAATACTGAGCCAGGGGTGTATCACGAGCCAGGGATGTCACTGACAGGGATGTATCACTGAGCCAGGGGTGTGTCACTGAGCAGGGGTGTGTCACTGAGCCAGGGGGTGTATCACTGAGCCAGGGATGTCACTGAGCCAGGGTGTATCACTGAGCCAGGGGTGCTTCACTGAGCCAGGGGTGCATTACCGAGCCAGGGGTGTCACTGAGTCAGGGGTGTCACTGAGCCAGGTGTGTCACTGAGCCAGGGACACTGAGCCAGGGTGTATCACTGGAGCCAGGGGTGTCACTGAGCCAGGGGGTATCACTGAGCCAGGGGGTGTCACTGAGTCAGGGGTATCACTGAGCCAGGGGTGCCACTGAGCCAGGGGTGTATCACTGAGCCAGGGGTGTATCACTGGAGCCAGGGGTGTAACACGTTTCAGGGGGTGTCACTGAGCCAGGGGTGGTCACTGGTTTGTGGGTGCTCACTGAGCCAGGGGTGTATCACTGAGCCAGGGGTGTCACTGAGCCAGGGGATGTACTGAGCCAGGGTGTCACTGAGCCAGGGGTGTATCACTGAGCCAGTAAGTCACTTGGAGCTAGGTATCACTGAGCCAGGGATGTCACTGAGCCAGGGGTGAATAATGAGCCAGGGATGTGTCACTGAGCCAGGGGTGTCATCAAGCCAGGGGGTGCTACTGAGCCAGGGTGTATCACTCTGAGCTAGGGGTGTATCACGAGCCAGGGGTATCACTGAGCCAGGGGTGCTCACTGAGCCAGGGTGTATCACTGAGCCAGGATGTATCACCGAGCTGGTGCGTCACTGGAGCCAGGGGGTGTATCAAAGAGCCAGGGATGTCACTTGAGCCAGGGGTGTATTACTGAGCTAGGGGGTGTATCACTGAGCCAGGGGGTGTCACTGAGCTAGGGGTGTATCACTGAGCCAGGGGGTGTCACTGTCAGGGGTATCACTGAGCTAGGGATGTCACTGAGTGTATTGCACGAGCTAGTTACTGAGCTAGGGGTGTATCACTGAGCCAGGGATGTCACTGAGCCAGGGGTGTGTTACTGAGCCAGGGGAGTGTATTGAGCTAGGTGTAATACTACTGAGCCAGGGCACACGGAGTCAGGGGTGTATTACTGAGCCAGGGGTGTCACTGAGCCAGGGGTGTAATACTGAGCCAGGGATGTCACTGAGCCAGGTACTGAGCCAGGGGTGTATCACTGAGCCAGGGTGTCACTGAGCCAGGGTGTATCACTGAGCCAGGGTGTCACTGAGCCAGGGGTGTATCACTGAGCCAGGACGTCACTGAGCCAGGGGTGTATCACTGAGCCAGGGGTGTCACTGAGCCAGGGGTGCATCACTGAGCCAGGGATGTCACTGAGCCAGGGGTGCATCACTGAGCCAGGGGGTGTCACTGATGGTGGGGTGTATCACTGAGCCAGGGGGGTGTCACTGAGCCAGGGGTGTATCACTGAGCCAGGGATGTCACTGAGCCAGGGGTGTATCACTGAGCCAGGGGATGTCACTGAGCCAGGGGGTGTATCACTGAGCCAGGGGGTGTGTCACTGACAGGGGTGTATCACTGAGCCAGGGGATGTCACTGAGCCAGGGGATGTCACTGAGCCAGGGGGTGTCACTGCCCCCAACAAGACCACACACTCAATCACCCGACTCAACTTTCTCGAGGCAGTTCGAGTCAGCCAGCGGAACTAATTCACGGTCATTTTACAAGATCCCAGAGAAACCTTCCAGACCCGCCACTTTCATCAGTTGCCAAGCGATCTACCACCCCGCAGTTTCAATATACGCTAACTAGACATGAATCACATTTTTTCCCTTGAAGAGTAACTATGATCACATAATTGTTCCTCTAAATCTAAAGAATAGCAATGTCATAATATTCGTTTCTTTAAGATGAACTTTGATGGCGTAGTCGTTCCTCTAAGAATAAATACATCATATAAATGATAACAAAATCATTATTTCATTCATAAACAACTAAAACCTGTATGGAAGGAATAAACTAAAATACAGATATTAAAACGTATGTCTGTAAGTTATATCAATACACACAACAAAACTTGTAAGGTAACCTCGCACTGCAGTAAACTGCAACAATAAACAGTAATACATCTCGTATCAAGGTAAGATACATAAGATGGAGATCCCGTGTCTCTCAAGCGCGTGGTGACTAGGTCTAGCAGGGGAGGTCTGCAGCTACTATGAAAAGTGGCGTGTCGCAGCAAGACGCAGCCTGAGCACTTCACTTCCTGTTCCAACCAAATATTACTCCTTCCTGTTTCTCGTCTATTTACCAATTATTTTCTCGCCTATGCTTGCGAGCTGCTTCGTGGTAGTGGGTGGTTTCCGCCCCGTCCACTATACACACACACACACACACATGTTCCTTTACCTTTCTCTAATGAAGGCTTTTGTTAAACCATCAATGTATGTAATAAGTCATTTATGTCCAATGTATATTTTCAGCCTTCGGGCTGCAGAACTTTTTCAATAAACCGTCAATTATTATTATTATTTTATTACACACACACGCGCGCGCGCGCAGGACTAAAACCAAAACCTGCACCAATTCTCTCTCGCCTGGTCCACGAGTAAGCACCCTGTAGGGCGAACAGAGGACAGTTGACATAACTCAACAAGAGGAGGGGATGTACTCAGCATATCCTACTGTAGTAGTAATATAACCCACCGAGTGGCAGGAAGGGGCCACGTCCACGCCATTCTGAGTGGCCAATATTGACTCCCTCTGGCTGGTGTCAACAGCTCTCCTGTCTTTTCTACGACAGACAAAATGAAGGGTAGTGGAGACCATGGGTAAGGGGAGGTTATAGGTAGAAGTTGTCGGTGGTAAGAAAAACGATGGGTGGGTAGG